GGTGAATAATGTTTATTTTTAAGCTGACTTTAGATGAGAATTCGAATATTTTTTGTACTCTAGCTAGTTCGCTATGAGCGCCTCATACCAATATTTTTATACAGTATGTTGCCATGGTAACAACCACGAAGCCATAACGATAACTGCGGTCAGCGCTGACATTAGCTAACGTGATAACCGGCTGTTTTCATTTTAAACGCTTCGGAATACAAACACTAACGGAATATTAACGTTTTAATTTTTTTAATTAAACTCATTTGTTGTCGTTACGGACTGTTAGAAGACACCGTGTCGGGAGATGAACTGCAGTTAGCACCTCTGAAACCTGTCGTTAGCATTGCTGGTATGTTTTTTTTTTTTCTGTCACCCAACACCGTCTTCCAGTAATGAGACACTACACCTAACGGGCATCGTGGCCTCTTTACATGGGAGTCGATTACCAGGCTGTAAAGGCACAGAAGCTACTTCGCCTTAAATTCGCGCGTGGGGACCAGCATTAGCTTTATCATCAAGGCAAACCAAAAAAAAAAAAAAAACGGCTCGCGGCACTTCTAATCGGCTTTTCTGCGTCTTATTTTTAGGGATGGGAAAGACGCCTGTGGTGACCCCTCAGCAGCTAACGAGAGGAAGGTAGTGACGGTTAAGGAGCGAGGTTGAACTGCCGTATGCAATGAAGAAGTTATTGAGCTTTACTAAGAAAAAGAAGAACTGTGGCACCTCAGACAATGTCAGTGCACTTTCTGATGGCTACGACCTGAAAGACAAGGATCTGGGGAAGATTCACAAGGCTGTCTCCCAGGGTGATTTGACCAAGCTGAAGCCGCTGGCTAAGAAGAACGATATCAATCAACTTGACAAGGAGAACAGGTAATCCTCACAAGTTTCCTGTAAAGTATAACCCTGCTTGAGCTGTCTGGTAGATTAAAGTAAAGCTAAATTCGTTGTACCTTTTGCCAGTCTGTACTGTCCTTATCCAACCTGACCAGTATGCTTTTTATATAAATCTTGCAGCACTAAGTAAATTATGCATGTATCCCAAGATTTTATGTGGAAAACAACTGTTAGAATGGCCTGTTAATGTAATACAGAGCAAATTACATTTTTTTATTTTATTTAGATCTTTAAAAAAAATGAATCAGGTGCAAAGGTTCCCTGACCTCTACTTAATTCCCACTTCCCATTTAATTTCTAAGCTTCAAGAGCATCGGAAAATTTAAAAATAATAAGATTATCTTAATTTATGCGTCAATGCATAGTTTTAATTGAACTAAAAGGAGCATTTTAATTTATTTATTTATTTTTAAGTTTTGATGAGTAAGAGGATGAAATCATCCAATTCAGATCCCTGGTTGATTAATTAACTTGTCTCTATTTATGACTTTCTAAAGATTCTTAAAAGGGTTTGTACAAATGTTCGATGTTTGGTGTTTGCATGATTCTGAACTCTTCTTCCCTTTAACAGAACTCCACTTCACATTGCGTGCGCTACCGGTCATGATGAAGTGGTTCAGTTCCTCGTTGATAGCAAAGCCAAACTTAACCTGCGTGACAATCAAAACAGATCCGCCCTAATGAAGGTAATCCTGCATGATGACACTCCGAGAGACCGGGAATCCTTTTCTTTTTGGTGTTGAATAATTGGATTTATTTATTGCACCCCTGCTGAACATGCGTAAAAAGCCTTAAAGTAAAATAATCTTTTGCATAATCTGACACTCTTTTTTTTAATTGTTTTTAGAACAGTTTTTGTGTCTCTTATGCTTTAACTTCAGTAACATGCACTCAAATTAAAGGTTGGGTTTCTCAGTACAAGATTACGCTACTGCACTACAGGTTTACTTCATAATTAAGGCTTTCTATACCTTGTCAGTTGAAGCATTATGACATTTTGCCATCTCCTGTGTCATTACTGGCTATTGTTCCAGCCCTCAATTCTTAATATATGTTCATTTTTATTTATTTTTTTGTTTGGTTAACAGGCAGTAGAGGGCCAGCATGAACGCTGCGTGGCCATATTGCTGGAAAATCACGCCGATCCAAATCTTGCAGACGCCAACGGCAATACTGCCCTCCATCTAGCAGCGAACATCCCCTCCATTCCCACAGCGACACGTCTGTTGCAGCACGGGGCAGAAATTAACGCGCAAAACAAGGTGATTGCCGTATGAGTTTATGCTTTCTGTCAAAAACGAGTATTTTTATTTTTTTTTCAGAAAAGTGTGTTTTAGTCACAGTTTCTTGAGATTTTGTTCACATTCACGGCAAAGTGTTATTTCCATTTCATCAATGTTGTTTGATCTGTGATCCAGGAGGGGTTCGCCCCATTGACTGTTGCGATCCGTGAAGACCGTATTGAAATGGCCGAGTTTCTCCTAAAAGAGTCAGCTGATGTGAATTCTCTTGACCACGAACAAAGGCCAGTACCGAACAAGAAACCATTTGTCAGTCGCGGTTGATGACGGTAGTACGTGTCGAACTGTTGAAAGCTCTTCTGCTGACACTGATTTCACTTTCAGGTCCCCTTTAATGCTAGCTGCCAGCAGCGGTCAACACAGTATGGTAAAGCTTCTCTTGCAGTTCGATCCAGACATCACTATTAAGGACAAAAGAGGGTGGACAGCTGATGACTGCGCACAAAAAAATGGCCATCATAGGTAAGGTCAACTCAAAAATGAATACACATTCATGGCAACAACAAAAAGCTGTTTCTGTAATTTAGGGCTGCAACAAACAATTATTTTTAGTTATCTGTTAATCTGTCGATTATTCTGACGATTAATCGGTTAATGTGGTGAAAAAATGTGCACATTGTACAGATTTTTCATTTAATCACTGAATCCTTTGCAATATACAGTATTGGTTCTGTTTTGGGGACTGGTCTGGAACATCTGGAGATGATTGCTCTGACTGATTGATCTGACTGATCTGTTTTAAACAACAGATCAGATGTTCCGATCTGTTTTACAGATCAGAACATCTACAACAACTCTGTAAAGAAAACTGAATAACATTAAATATAAAAAGTGATGAATTAAAGTATTTTTTTTTTACATTGAACTGAATTATAAAAAACACATAAGGAAAGAAAGTCAGTCAGCAAAGAACATGCTGGGAACTTTTACTAAGTGACTTTGGGCCAAATGTCCACAACAATGTAAAAGACTATCTGCAAATATAATTTTTATGCTGTTTTTAAGTTTAGTGTGCAGCTACTTTTCCACTTTGTTCCAGGTTCTTTTCCCTTCATGAAAGAAATTACATTTTAAAATGGACTTGCATTTTCTCACATTATCCCAAAGTGCAACAAAAAAAAAGTAAAAACAGGAGAAACCTGTGGGTACAGATACACTTTCACAGCACTGAATGTGGTTTTAAAATCTCTTTGAGCAACACCAAAACTAACAGTAATCTATATTTTCATGCTTGATATGAGCACCGTGGCATTTTGAGTTTCTATTTTTTTTCCTCACTTCCTTTTCAGTTGTTCCCTCCTAATCACAGAGTATGGGACCAAGAGGACACACAGGGCCTCAGTATCATATCCAGGTTCATACAAGAAGAAAAAACCACCGAGCATTCCCTTCCATGATCCAGAACCAGGCTTTTCTTTGGGAGGACCAGCCACTGATAAAGGTGGTACACACTTATTTTGGTTAGATAGTGAATAAGTAAGTTTGACTGACTCCCCTGTATGACTGACTGATCATTTTATTTATTCCTCACGCATAACCTCTTGACTGGATCTAGAGCTTGGGACAAATGAAGCTGGGGGAGGTACTATGCTTAGATGAACTTTGTTAGCAGAATTAGTTTGCTTTCCATTGTAACGGCCAGATTTGAGTTACTATTAAGATCGGGCTCCGTCACACATGGTGCTAAATACAGAGCTAAACACATTGGCTCACTTTCAGTCTCTAGATGTGAGTCAATGAGTAATGTGTCAAGGAGGCCGATTCTATTTGGGGGAAAAAACACTTCTGACATTTGTATTTGCAAAAAAAAAAAGTCTAGTAGATTCCTTTCATTTCACTTTTATTATGTAGTTCTGTGTGTTGGTCTGTGTATTATTTTAACTTTAAAATCACAGTTAAAGTTGAGAAAATGTGAAAACATTTCAAGGTATACGAATTTCTATAGGGCGCCTTAAATGCTTTGAATCTTTTTCACGTCGGAGGAATGTCTTGGTAAATTTTCTTTAGACAAAACATTAATAAAAACGTATTTCTCCCTTGTGGCAGATTTAGAAGACAATTCGTTGTCAGAGTCAGTCAGTCGGTAAGCAGAGTTTTCTTGTTGCATTCGATAATTCCATTTTGCGACTTGATTTTCCTGACTGTAATCGTTCTTCCTTCCTTAGAGCTTCTAAAAGTGCTAATGACGAATGGCCCTCAACAGAAGATGATGATGACTCCTCTGCGGGAAAGGTTGGTGAGGCTTATATTTGACGCACAACAGCCTTATTTATTTATTTTGTTCAAATGTAACTTCCATGTCATGTTTTTGAACTTTAGAAACCACTTAAAGTGAATCTAAGACGATTTTTGGGATCTAAAATGGGAGAAGGTACCAAGAATCTTTTAGTCATTTGTTACTAATTATAGTAGTTTGTGATTGTAATCTGTTATCCCCGTTTGCCCCGTAGCTCCTGTTCTACCCGACACTTCCCTAAGTGACACAGAATCAGAGCCGCTACGTAAAACTAGTGTCCCAGTAGATTCCTCTACAGTTCCCACCCTTTCCAAATCACCTCTTCATATCTCCAGAAAGGTAAAAATGTAGTAGTAAAGCTTTACTGTGTGCTTTTGTAACGGCTTTCTGTTCTTTTGTTTGTTTTTTTCCAAATGCCAAAAAACAAGGAGACAATTCAGCTGAAAGGGGGAAAGGAAAACACTCAGAGCAAAATTTAAGTGCTAATAATTCTCAGGAGGAAGGTTCTGATGGAGAGGACTCTGGAGAAGAAGTAGAGGAAGAAGATGAGGAGGAGGAAGAAGATGAAGATGATGAGGAGGAAGAAGGTGAAGAGGATGATAGTGAACAAAGCGATGAAGAAGAAGAAGATGGATCTGAGGAGGAGGAAAATCACAGTCAGAACTGCTCTGCAACTGATATCAGAGCTGATACTCAAAACTCTCCCCACAGTAAATCCTCTCTGAACGCTGAGACTCCTGTTACCGTCAGACACGAGGTCGACAAAGCGGAGATGGAAAACGCAGACGTCAACAATCCTGACGGTGCAAAAACCTCTGCAATGCCAGCAACATTAGACGTAGCAGGTGATTGCATTGTGTCTGCCATTAGGGTGGAATCAAAGCTGTCCGATGAAGAAGAGAGCGTTGCTAAGGAATGTATGAGGTCATCAGACCAAGCATTACATTCAAATCAAATAACACAAGTCCCATTCCCCCCCGAAGCAGCTCAGTCACCCGGTAAAGTTAAAGAAGCGGAGTCAGACAGAGAGACGGAAAATGATGACAAGGATTCCATGAGCGACGGGACAAATGGTGTCGACAAAGTTTGGAATGACAGTGATGATGAGGAAGGAAATGAAGCAGAGGGAATTGGTGGGAGCACTTTGATCACTTGTCCTGGGAAGCTGTTAGCCGACGTCGGAAAGAATGTCAAGTCTGACGCGGAAGACGATGCTTCGTCAAGCAGGGAACCTGTTGAGGCAGGTAGACATAAATCCTCATGGGGCTCTTCAATAGAAGGAAGTGATGTTGACATACCCAAAGAGAGCGAGGCAAACATTGAGGTTCTTCAACAGGAAAACGATTTCCAACCTCCAGATATGCAGCTGGAAGCAAAGGAGGAGCAGCCTGATACTTCATGGGATTCTTCAACACAATTCGTCTTAGCAGAGCCAGATATTGATGACCCGGGTTTACCAAGTTCTCCTCAGGCCAAAACCAAACCAATTGTAGCAACTGCAGTTGAATCCGATTGGGATTCCTCTGAAGTCGATAACCAAAATGACACTGGTGCTCAATGTGAAGTAGCATCACTAGGTTTAAACGAAGCAGACAATGAGACGAAAGAAACGCACAAGCGCTCCTTGCAAGAAGAGGAAACAGACAGTATTGAGAAAGAATCCAATGACCCCTCCCCTGTGGTGTCGGTAGCGCTTGAGTGTGAAGACACAAAAGGCCCAGTACTCTGTGATGATGGCGAGCCAGCAGGATCTTCTTCAATAAAGGAAGAAAAGTCAGATTCCGAAAATGAGGAAGGGAACAGTAGCAGTTGGGATGATGATCATGAAGAGGAGAGTGACGAGTCAGACAAGAAAGAAGCAGAAAAAGCAAAAACAGATAACATTCAAACTGAAGACGATACCGAAGAGATTCCATATTCCTACATCGACGGAAATTATGAAGCTGAAGACGAAGCCAAAGCTCAGGGAGAAACGCTGGTCGTCGATGAAAATCAGAGTAAAGACGTTGAGTCGAGTGAGGATTCTGATAGCAGGCATCAAAAACTCCAGTATGACTTTGCCAGTGCTACAGCCAAACTGCTTGATGTTGGAGGTGATTCTGCTGGCTTATGTGAAAAGTCAGTTGATGAAGGTGAAGCTAGACTAACATCATATGCTCCGCTTGAAACTGAAACCGCAAGCGTTGCCAGAACAAGAGAGTCTTATGACGAAGATCAGAGAGGGAAAGTGGTCTTTTCCAATTCACCCATCCAGGATGATGATACCGGTGGACAACATCAACTTTCAGAGGTCTCTGATGAAGCGTTACCCCAGACTGACATTGATGATGTGGACCTAAGCTCATCCGATCGATCTGAGAACACAAGCCTGAGATGGCACGAGCTAAAAAGCACCGACAAGCCTGGTATTCAGGTAAAACAGGGATGTTTGGTTACTGGGTGTCAAATAAGATGGTTTGCATTCACATTACTTCTGCCAAGACCTTCAACAGTTGGCTAAGTTTGCAAAGCCTAATTCTTGGTTTGTGCCTATTTGTTTTATAGTTGTGAACTCAAATGTCAGTGAAATGTGGTTTTAAATACATGATCTTTTTTTCTCTTAGAAACAAAATTTTACTGAAGATGAAAAAGACAATGACAGAAACGGAAAAGATGAAAAAGACTCATCAAATGCTAACAATAAATCTCAAGACAGTGGGGACGTCCATGATGGAGTTCCGACTGTCCCCAAAGTAGAAGTTGGTAAAGATAAAAAAAGAGGTATGAATACTAACATGGAACTACTTGGAAAATTCCTAACAGTCGATGTAACCAAAAAGTTCAACTCGGATGTCAAACTTGATTCAACTGAAAGTCCAAGTAAATTAGTTCTTTAGAATTTATCTGGAAAAATGTATTTGGAGGATGCTAAGTTCGCTAAATGTTTGCTTATCATGAATATATTTCTTTTTGCTTAAGAAGAGTCATGATTTATTTTTATACCACAGATTTTCAGTGATCATGTTTCGCAAACTGACAGTATTGTTGCAATTGTTACAGCGCTCTAGCGTTCGAGCATCAGTACATATCATATTTGAAATGTGTTCTTGATGTATTAAAAATAAAAACTCTATACTAATTAATTAAAATTTCTATGTAGACTTCCGGTTAGAACTGGGTCTGAAGAAAGGGGAAGGAGACGAGAGTTCATGGGACTCTGAGGTATAAACAAATATGTTACTGAACTCCTGATCAGATGACTGCTCTTGTTTTTGTCGGTCTTAAGTATTCAAATTTATTTGTAAATTTCAGTCAAACTCTGAACTTTCCAATGTACCGCATAAGGAAGAGCCAAGGCTGCACAGCCCAAATAAAGAGGGAGCAGCTCCTGTGGAAGATTCACTCAAAGAAGGTAAATGTATACTTTTATTATTTTTCACTTTTCTTTTTGAAGGTTTCAGTGTTTTTTTTTTTTTTTTTTGCTTCTAGATGCAATCAAGTCATTCCAGGCAACATTCCATGCAGCACAAATCGTGTGACTTTATCTATTTATTGTTACAGAAACTTGCACTTTAATGAACGGCATTTATCCTTCTTTTATGTTTGTCTAGTAAAAGTTATAAATGCAGAATGTAAAGTGTGTCCCTTTGAACAAAACCGTCCCAACAGTTTGTTACTTTTCTTTTTGTAGACGTGTTTTACATTCCTTCTTTTTTAAGAGGGGAAGGAGGGAGTAGGATGGCAGAGATAGAGCCTCGCAAGAATGTAGGCATGCCACAAGGCAGCCAGGGAGAGGGTACGCCTGTCTTCAATCCCTGCTAATCAGAAAACTCACCATCACATCATTGTCGCATAAGGGGATGCATGCAGCATTCACTGTACCTGCTTGATCCTGTCAACTCGCTATAAAGTGCAGAGCACTCTAAGTATTTTCAGAACTTAGAGTGCCTTGCAGAAGAAACGCAAAGCACAAAAGTTCAGAACTTGGGGAAGTCTTGAACTTTTTTGCCTTTTGTTACAGTACAAGAACAACCTTTGTTGGATTTTATTGGGATTTTACATGACAGACCAGCACAAAATGTATTGTTTTTCATTTTTTTACAGCACGATTTTTAAACCTACAACCACAAAATTTGAGTCTGGGGAAGAGGGTCACCTTCCAATAGAGCAACAAGCCAGAACTACAGTAGAAGGGTTTATTTCAAAGCATGTTCATGTGTTACAAAGGCCCGGTCAAAATCTAGACTTAAAACCAACAGAGAATCTGATCCAGAACTTGAAAATTCAGAGACACTATAAACCACTATGACTACCCTTAAAAATTACAATCTTAGGAGAAGGCATAGACACATACTAAAAGATGTTTAATGTTGTTTTATTTAAGCCAGACATAGATAGTTACTTCCACTCTTGTCTTCAATCACTGTCTGCGTTGACGGCCCCATTAGTGACCTCTATTAATCTGATTGTTCGTGCTGAAACTTATTAGCCTCATACTTTCAAGCCATGTTTAGAACTGAAGAAGCTGACTGGATGAGAAATGAAACATTTTTATGAAAACTTAGAAGACGTCCCACCACAGCTACAGAATTCCCAATAAAATACACTGAAGTTTGTGGCTATTAAGGTTAAAAAAAAAATAAACGAAATATGAGGTAACTGAAGATAGCTGTAGGTGGCTTGTTTTAAAGGAATGTTGTGATTTAAACTCTACTAATCTCAACCATCGCTGAACTTGTGTTCCATTCAAATAAATCAGTTTGCATGGCGATGCAGAAACATGCTAACCTCCAGCTCATTTGCATGGAAATGCTTCTAACAGTCTCCTAACTGCCTGCATCATCTGGATTTTCTGGATGCTTCCCGGAGAACTCTGTAGTTGCCAATTAAAATCACATCCCGTCTTTTTTCAGATGGAAGTGACAGTAGGGACAATCAAAGGGAGCTTCCAAAGGAAGACAATCCTGTACAGAAAAAGGTACATTTAACAGGTTGAGACACAGAACTTAACTGATATGTGCTACAATTACAGTGCTGTGTCTTTTATTTAAAACAGAAAGAAAGTTCTAAAGCGCTCAGTGTTTTGAGCAGCCACAAAGGAAATGTCAACATAATGGACGAGCTTGGTGTCGGGGATGTAGATGATCTTGAAGGTAATGTTTTTTTTGTTGTTGTTTTTTTTCTCCAACAAAAGACTTTTACTCTATTTTTTGACTGATTTCCATCAAACAAGCTACAACCTGTAATGGTTTTAGCATAAGAGTGAGACAATTACTCATCAAATCTATAATCTGAGAGGTACTTTTGAAAGATGATTGCACAAAGTTCACTCTATAAACCTCTGCTTCAAAGCATGATAGTGTTGTTTGTTTAGGATTTGTTTCAGGTTTATGTTCTCCTTACCATGAATCTACAACATTCACCTGAGTCATTGTTGAAGTTCTTTTTGCTTTAGTGTGAATTATTGTTGACTTCAACCAAAGTTTTAACATAAAAGAAAACAACTGCTGATGAGCAACCGATTAAAAAGCCTGTGTTCTTTACATGCGGCACTGACTTTTGCATTGATTTTTCTTTCTGTCCTGACCCGTTTTGAAGCAAAAGATGCAGCTCAGTAACAGTAATGAGTTCAGATGTAATCACTAAAAGCTGTATTTGCATATTTTGCTTTAGACTGTAGCTTAGAAGAGTAGAAGAGAAGAGGGGTGTAATGTTTAACTTGACATAAAATGTATTATCCGTGGCTCCACAAACTAATCTTTTTTTTTTATTACTTGACTTAAAGTATCTTATGTTCGTGGTGCAGATGGATCAGACTGGGATTCTACCAGCAGTATCAGTAAAAGAACACCACCTGGGTTGAAGTTTCCCTCCTCTGGCCAAGAGGAGTTTCAGAAAGACGGTATTTCTTCTGGTGGTGGACAGAAAGAAGATCGTGGTCTTCCCAGAACCTCAACACCTAAGAGGAGCAGCAGCTTTGGGAAGAGTCTACCCAGCACGCCCTCCGTCTCTGCTCCGCTGCCCCAACCTCATACTACTAAGATAAGTTTTCAGACGACAGGCGACGAAGAAGGTAAGTTGGTGACTTTTTTTTCTATCTTGTGTGTCCCCAGTACAACATATGCAACATGCGAGAGTTTTTATCTGTTTCTTTGTCCTGCAACCAGATTCAGATAGTGAGATAGAAAAGACTAGAGGCTCTCGAGAAAATTCTCCAACTGGCAATCGGCGACGGTCGACGCATGAACATGGTACAATTTAGTTGTCCTTTTTAAGATTACCTTTATTCGTGCACATGCCCAGTGTTCTGGGTACTGACTCCCATCTTCTCTCCAGGTGCTGCTGACCATTCTCAGGGGACAGAAAACACTCAAGACAGTTCAGATTTTGAAGAACACCAGGAGAGGGTGAGAAATGTTGATACAGTTGTCTCTGCCTCCTGAATTCAATTTTCCTTTTCAGCAACATCGTCTCCAGCTTAAGCGTCTTTCTCTTTCTAAAAATACATGAGCAAGTCATATTGGAGAGAAATGTTATCACATTCTTTGGATGCAAGACCTTGATGACTTCTAATTTGGAATAACTTGGAACATTTTTAGCAAAAGCAGAATGTCTTTTTTACAAGGTATAACTAGCTACCTAAATGTACTAAAGTGTTGCTGGCAAGAAGCAACAAATGTACAATATATTTGTTAAAGTATTTTGAACTTTCTCACTCTGTCAAAAATTTGTAATGTGAACCAAGAGAGTGTATTGCCTAAATTATTCATTGTACGGAAAATGATTGCAGGTTTTTGAGTTATGTCTACCAGTTTTGCAATTTTAGAGATGGAAAGTTTTACCCAGTTTTCATTACAAAATAGACAGTTTGAACTAGGGGTGCACCGATAAATCGGCCCCAATTTCCTTAATTTTGGGTGACTGGTCAATACTTAACCGAGAAACCTGATCACATCTCCACATGGGCGTAAACAATAATCACCGTTATATTTAGTGACTTTTCAGACTAAAAACAACGGTATCAGCAAAAATCGGAATCGGTTCACCCCTAGTTTGAACATCTCAAGTGGATTCTATGTCTGCCTTGTGTTCTGGATATTATATCAAAACCTTTGTTTTTGCATTTCTGTCTTTTTTTTGTTGTTTGTTTTTGTTTGTTTGTTTGTTTGTTCTTCCTTGTCAAATCACATCATCAAAGGAGAAAGATGATGCAGTAGATGGATGTGAGTTCAGTTTGAACAACTTAGGCCATGCAGGCTCTGACACGGAGGAAAAGGTAGGTGGAGATGCGCCGTGGGAGAAGCGTTACGAGAAACTCTGGGTAGAGGTGGAGAAAAGGGAGGTAAAATCCACCTTTAAGAGTGTCACTGGGGAATTAAAGGAGAAGTTTGGTGAACTTTTTGAATCAAGCCGTTCTGTGAAAACCCCCACGGAAGACGCTTCTCCTGCGTCCAGCTCTGCGGGTGAAGATTCAAGTGACGAGGAAGAAGAGGACATCGTTCGCCCCACAGCCAGAGCAAGAAGTACTGTTCTTCTCACCATCCCTGAGCAGAGAGAGTCAGGACAGGAGGAGTCTATGGTAGAGTCACCAGGCAGCTCCTTGTGTGAAGAAACGCTACCGGACTGTGATCAGGATGTTAACAATAGCTTTATCCATCAAAAGTCAGCTTTACTCACAGCTGATGTCGAGGCCAATGCTTCATCGCAGCTGAACGCCGCACAGGAAGAAAGCGAAGACGATACCGATCGCTACAGCAAACCTGCTGCTTCAAAGGTTAACGGCAAAGCTCTGCTCGCTACTGACTCTGCTGGCCGTCTACATGAAGCTGGCTGGTCCAACGCGGGCTCAGAAGAGAGTCTGACGTCTGAGCCAGCCTTGCAACACAGACGTCCAGATGTCTCTAATGGAGAAGGGCCTGAAGAAGAGGACATGATGAGGTTTAACCCTGAGGTAGGAATGCTGGGAGTTGTATTCAAAGCAAAGGCCCAGCCCAAGAAAGCGACATAGGATTGCTGCTTCTGACACAGTTGCTTCTGGACTTCATCTTTCTCTCTCTTCCTCAGTTTATTCAATACCTGAATACGTTTCTCTTCCTCCTTTCAGTTAAGGCTCATAACATTATGACCTTATTGTTGCAGTTACATGTTTATTTCTTGTCCTGTGCTTCATTTCATGTAGATCTGCTTGGTTCACTTATACCCATCTTGACTCCTTGCCATTCTAACCAACCAGCTGTGGACCCTCAAGTGTTTTCTGAACAGCTGTGTGTAGACAACGTCATTTGTAAAAGTCAAAAACTGCAATTCTTTTGATTAGATTTATGCAGGGTGTCCACACAGCCTTAAAAAAATCTTAAATTTGTGAGTTTAAAACTAAGGCCTGAAAATGTCATCAATTCATTAAAAAAGGTTAAGTTGGCCTTTAATAAGTTAATCACAGATTTTTCAAAATACCAAATCAGTTACATACATATAATGTACTGTGAAATATCTGCAAGTGGTACAAATTTTCAGACAAAATATGCTAGTGACTGGCCAGCTAATCTAAGACTATCTGTGGTCCACATTTGTGTGCTTTTTTTTGTAGTCTTGTGTCATACGTGTGCTTTGCATGTGTGGTTTACACTGAAAATGTTTGTGTCAAATATGTGTGAAGATTGCATGAACAATAGTTCTCTTTAATGCATGGAATGAGTTTTATTTTCAGTTTTGGTTTCCCATATTATGCATGCTGTGTGTTCGTTTTTACAGTTATTCTCATAAAGAGTTTTTATTATCCAAGTTTTTTGGTGTATCGATTTTATAAGGACAGAATAAGAAAAGGACAGGCAATAATCTACTATTTATATGGTCATTTTATTGTTTGCAAAGAAAATGACAACCAGCAATAACACGTAAATGTGTGTTGGCTTCAGTAAATTAATAGAAAAATTGGGTTAAAATTGAGCAATAGCAGAGTGGATATTGTAGCTCAAATTCTTAATTTCAATTATTCAAGAGTATTCAAACTTCTTGGGTTAGTTTTATATTCTTAAGAAATAAGGACTTATTCACATCCCTTGAGCTCTTTTGCATTTTGTTGTAAACCAACCACAAACCTCAGTGTATTTTATACGATGAAGAAAACGTGGGGCAACAATTTAATAATAATCCTTAAAATGAAAAACCAAAAACTCGCATCAGTGAATTTTTTGGTCTTAAAATGAATGAAAAACTTTTCATCTGCATCGACGGCCTCAAATTTGCACCATTCTCTAATTGTGAGCTTCTTACAAAATCATTGTATAAATTATTTTTTCTTTCCATTTCTAAATTACTCACTGGTTTATTTTGGTCTATCACTTAAAATCACAATAAAATGCATCAAAGTTTCTGGTTGTGATGTGAAAAGGCTAAAAGGGGTATAGTTACTTTTCCTAGGTACTGCAGTTCCAATAGACTCTTAAGTAGAAGGTATTATTAAGGAAGTAAGTCTGGTATTAACTGCATTACCTATTTTTCCCAGGTATTTTTCCTAAGTTATTAACTCCGTTACCTATTTTTCCTAGGTAATGCAGTTCCAATAGCCTCTTAAGTAGAAACAGCTTTAAGGTATTAGGTCTCCAGTGGGCGGGGCGACGCTGAATTATGTATGATAAAGAGCACGAACACGGATCCGAATTGCATGTTAAAGTGCAAGCCTCGGCCTTCCTCAGCTGGACCATTCTCTCCTGCCAAGTTCATAAATCTTGTATGTTTTTTTTTTTTTTTTTTTTTTTTTTAGATGGCCGGCAAAGCAACAGGAGCTATGGCGCCGCATCGAAAGTCACGCATTTCCCACGATGGCAGTGAAGCAGATGGTTCGGAGAAACCTGGGACCAGTGTATGTTTAAGTTTGGTTCAAGCTGGAAGATCTCATCAGGAATATCAGCTTGATACCAGACAAAGGTATGCATGTCGCTGCTTCCCAGCGAAAATACTAATTTGAAATAGCCATTAGGAATTGGTCTTATATTGAGACTTTATGTACAATCTGTCTGGTTGTTTTTTGTTTGTTTTTTTCATTCTGTGTGATTTAACATTAGTTTTTAGGCAGTTTTTCAGTGAAATGTGGGAGGAGCTGCCACATTTCTTTGCACCCATGGTAAAGATGTGTAAGAAAAAGCCTAAAAATAAATGTGTCATTTGACTCCCAACACTCGCACTGAGCAACTAATTGCATCTTGGTTTCGCCCAGTTTCCATAACAACCACTGAGTCGAGATAAAGTTGGGAAAGAACTATTCTGTGTCCTACTATCACAAAAATAAACACGTTGAATTAAAAAAAGAAATCTACTGGAGCTTTGGTTAGATGATAGGATGAAGCTTCATTTTTTCAGGCTTTCTACACAAGGTTTGCCAAGAGTGCAAATAATTCTGCCTGGCCCTTTAAGGGGGTTTTGTTTTGTTTTGGTGTGTTGGTTTCACTGTGTCCTTTCTTTTTCATTTCAACCAAAGGCCTCAGTCAGTCACAGTTCAATGATTATCAGGTTTATTGCTCTCCATAACACCAACAGAGCTCCAGTCGTGCAGAGCTGCAGTGGCATAAAGCAAGGTGCAGAAGGAAAATTACAGCTGGAGCTGATGGTCCATTGGGCCCGGCAAAGTGGAGGCCCGCAGGCCAACATACAAGTTAATCGAGCACCCTCACCTGAGGTTGAGGAAAACACTATAAGTGACATATCGGACGATGAAGGAGACAGGTATACATGCAGGACGCCACTTTCCCACATCTCTCTGCGCCACTAATCTATTTGGTGTTATTAATCTGAACGCTAGTTACTGGAAACAAATCTCCCTCTCCAAAACTTGTGGTTGATAGGTGAACAGACTGCATAAAACTGTTAACTAGGGCTGCAACAGACAATTATTTTAGCAATTGAATTTCAATTGGGTGAATCTAAAAATATGTTACTTGAGGGTAGGCCTGTCATGATAACACATTTTGCTGAGCGATTAATTGTCTAAAAAATTATTGCGATAAACGATAATATTGACTAAGAATGCATGTGATTTCCTGCCATAGATAGAAACACTATATTTTCAAAAGAACACATAATACTGGAACTGATAAAGTAAATAAACAAAACAATCAAAAACAAAAATAAAATTGATTCTCAGTCTCCATTAACAAAAACATTACTTAAATAAAAACTAAACAACATAAAGCCAAAGTGGAAATAAATACTGCATTCAACCAAAAGAGTGCAGATTATAAAGTTTGTATACTGTATTGGCCTTTCAGTAATCACTAGATTTAAATAGAGACGACGGGCACATCCAACCACCTAATGCAGTAGTTCACACTACACGATTTTTTGCCCCCATTTTGCCCTTATGACAATCTTAGATCGTTGGCCGATCTAAGATTCTCGCTGGTGATTTCGTAACCAGTCATCCTGCAGTGTGTGGTGCCAAATCAGGGGTTTTCCCCGACTGGGAGCTTAACGCTGAATGTGACAGGTAGCCAATCAGAAAGCACGGATTCTCCTCGTGCTTTCTGAGGGGAAATTACGGAGGGGAATCCCAAACAGCTGACACGGCAACTAATTTATCGATTAGATAAATTAGTTGCCGATTATTTCAATTGTCGATTAATCAAGAGTCGATTAATCGTTTCAGCCCTATTGTTAGCATAGTGTGTGGTAAAAGTATTTGCTGCCTTAAGCTTTTCTTCTGTTTTTGCTTTGCTTGTTTGTTTGTTTTCAGGTCACCACCGAACTTTTATTATTAAAGACAACCTGAGTAAATACAAAATTCACTTTTCATTTAGTTAAAGTGTACCTAAAGTTCTCTGAATAGCTAAGAAAAACAAAGCTTCCAAAATGCTTTTACAAGTTGTTGCTACTAAGGATGACACAATCAGTTTCAGAGGCAATCGTCAACGTAGGAACCAGGAGGGTTCAGATAACATTTTTCCCTTAAAGTGATTATTTGAAAACTGCATTTTGCATTTACTCAGGTTATCTTTCTTTAAGTTGTGAGGGTCTGAAACATTTACTTTTGATAAAAGCATACAGGGGGCTTCTTTCAACTTTGCACATCTAAGTTTTATTACACTGCAGAAAATAGACAAATATTCACAATATACAACAAAAGTACTTCCAAAATATATCTAAATCTGTGTTTTTTTATTGCTTTTATAAGACATTAAAATGTCAAATTTGCTTTTATCAACCAAGTCAGAAATATCTTGCGTTACAGCAAAAGCTTGCAATTGCTTTCTCAACAATATTCTGCATTATATCATTACACCTTCAGTATTTTCACTATGTTCGTGCAAATCTTTAGAATTACTGTTTTTTCCTCTTGTTTTTGTTTTTGTGTTTGTGCGGCTCAGGTCTGCGACTACAGGTCAACAGAAAAGCAAGGTACAAACAACCAGATCGACTACACAAACGAGAGTTGGATTTGAAACAGATACGGGAATAATTTTATCGTCATTTGTTTCTTTCCAGGTCCAGAGTCTCGAAGACTTAAGCGTGCCTGACGATCTGGAAGAACTCACACAGTCGTCCGACACAGACGACGCGGACTCACAGACTTCAGGCTACTGTAATGCAGCCTCCTTCAAGCAGAAGCTGGAGTCATTCGCTTTGGGTAATAAGCTTGCGCAATACATGAGGAGTTATTTACTTTTCTTACTTTTTGTTGCTAAATAAAAATAGATAATCTAGTTTTACAGACAGACACAGACAGATGGATTTGTTGGCACCCGTGGTGAAGCTGTGTCTTAAAATAATTGCATTCTTTTATCGGAGCAGAATTGAACTGAACAGTGTAGATATTAAATTTTAACACTTTTAATACCTTTAATGACATACTGTTTTACCCATTTCACAGGTGGCACAAATTCTAACCGTCATTTTAATGGATGTATCTGAAGCCTTTTTAATTATATTTGAGCTTTTTAAAATCAACTCTTTTGTTTAGCCGTTCACTGTGGGCGGTGGATCAGTTTGGTGGCCTGCATCCAAAAAATGGAAACAGTTCATCTCTTGGTCCAAAACACACGGCCAAATCAACGACGGGTTCACCAGATGCTGAGTTGACCTTCTTCCATGACCATCTCACTGTATTTCATCCCCCAGATCCCACAACTACGGCAAAGATACAGAACATTTTCCACGAGTATGAGCGCTCCATTCAAAAACTGCGAAGTCGCCATGGGTATCTGTCGGAGAAGGTGAACCAGCTGGAAGCGGAAAGAACGTCGCTGAAGGGCTTACTGGAGGAAGTCAGAGACGCTAGGGCTCTTCTGGAGCGCAACCAGCTGGAAATACAGACTGAACTCACAAACATCAAGTGAGATTTTTTGTTGTTGTTGTTGTTGTTGATTTTTGGGCTAACTTTGAAATGGTTTCCTCTGGACTTTTTATTAATTTTTTTTAAATATATATATTTATTTACTTGCTCTCTTTGTGTTGCACATGGTGTGAAGATTCCAACTGAAACAAGAGCAGGAGAATCGCCAGAATGCCTCCATGATGTACGACACCACCAAAGACAAGCTGAAGCGGGTGGAGGAGCAGCATCAGTTTGAGGTCCAGGACAAGCTGAAGGTGGAGCTATCACTGAGGAACATGGAGCTGGAGATGAGAACGCTCGCCAGCAACATGAAACAGGCACTTTGTTTTTATCTGCCCAACTGTTTAAGTTTTTTATTTTCTGCTAGAAATGGAGATGTGTGTTATTGATTAATGAGTTAATCTAAAGTTGATCGATCGACTATCGATTAATTGGTAAGCAGCCATTTTCTTTTTTCTTGTATCAAAAGAGATGACCATCTATATTCTTTATGCTGAATATGGAAAAGTACATCTTTATATTTTTGTAACTTTTTGTGTCAGATGTGTTAAATACTGACTGAAAAATCAGCGGAAATTGCAGATTTTTTTTATCTGATTAATTGTCAGCATAATCAATACAATAACTGATGACTAAAATAATTGTTAGTTGCAACGCTGTTGCATCCCTTGTTAAAAACATGTTGCCTGTTGTTAATTACTGACTGAAAATCAATAGAAATTGCCAGGTTTTTTATTCGATTAATCAATTAATCATCACCATATTTGATTACTAAAATAATCCCTGGCTGCATCCCTATTTGCATCCCTCATTAGATATATTATGTCGGTATTTATGTTGCCACGCTCTTTGCTTGCATGTGTGTATGTGATTCTAACGCCTGTGTGTGATATGTTTAATGCTCAGCTTGAAGAAGAGCAACATGAGACTCAGAAGTTGCTGGTTCAGGAACGCACCTCCCGGGCCCTGCAGGAAAATCTGCTCAACAATCACCTCCGAAAGCAGAGGGAGATGGAGGCGGAGCACAGGAAAAGCATGAGCAGAAGCAACGAGGTGATCCTCTAACTTTCAATCCGATCATCTCAGGATTGTTTTTTTTTTCCCCCACCCAATACTGTTATTTGTTGCGCTTTTTTAAAACACAAAATCCAGACGGACTTACGGTGATGTTTTTGTTGTGATGCGTGGTAGGCTCTGTCTCAGCTCACCGAGGCCGGCGACAGGGAAAGAGAGCTGCTTCGTCAGATCAGTTCGCTGCAGGAGCAGCTGACCACGATAAAGTCAGACTTAGAACATTCCCAGGCAGACAGCAGTCTCAAAGAGAGCACTCTTGTGGAGGAGAACGAGGCCCTCAAGGAACAGCTTGAAGACATTCGTCAAGACCTCAAGCACAGCAACGAAACTGTGACCCAGACCATGTTCGCTTGCAACAACCAGATATCGGCCCTGAAGACCGAGTTGGTGAAAACGACGAGCCAGCTGGAACAAGAACGACAGACTCGCGAGACGCTGGAGGCCGAGGCCGAGTCGACTCGGTCTCGCTTGGCCGCGGCCGTGAAGGAGATCGAACTTCGCCTGGCGTCTCACGCAGAGACAGAGAAAGCTCTGCTGAGAGAGAAGGAAGAGCACCAGAGACAGAAAGATCGACTCACAAGTGAGTAGAGAAGTCCTCTGGTCTGCACATACAATTTTGCAGAGCTGCAGCTAACAGTTATTTTAGTCATCAATTACTCTGATGATTAATCGATTAATTGGATAAAATGGAATTGGCACTTTCTGGGAACAACATATTTACAGCCAAAGAAAGACCTTTTTTTATCTTAAATGCAAATTGTATCTATTTTTTGTACAGTTTTGGCCTAATTACTGCTGTGAATATGTTGTTCTTTCAGCAAATAACCTTTTTGAGTCTGTAATCTCCAGTTCCAGTTAACGATTAATCGTTAACTGGAACACCTGAGACTTTTTTCTGGAGGAAAAATTAGTTGACATATTTTTCACTTAATTGATTAATCATAATTATTAAATTGCTAAATTAGTTGATCATTTTATTATTAATTAAACAATTGACTCCTAAACTAAGATTTTTTTCAATTAATCAATTAATCACAAGTAATCGTTTGTTTCAGCCCCACAATTTGTACTCTAAGCATGTAATATTGCTTTTTGCTTACTTGCCTGCAGTGAGCATTTTACAATTATTGTTTAACCTGTTTCTCCTCCTAATGTAAACCACATCTCTTCTCTCTGTTTGTAAACATTGATGCATTTTATTGCTTTTTTTTTAATTTTTTTAGATGAAATAACCGCTCAGCGCGAGGCAGTCAGCAACCTGAAACAGAAGCTGACCAAGGCTGACGCCAACACAAACAGCATGGAGAACGAGATCCATCGGGTCACTGCGCAGCTGACGGAGAAGAATCTGCTGCTGGATGCCCTGCTGAAAGAGAAGGACTATGGGATGGCGCGTGCCAAGGAACTCGAAACTGCCCTGCAAGCAGAGAAGGAGCTGTCTAGTCGCAGCATAGCGCGCCAAGAAGCAGCGGAAGAACGCCTCGCCCATGCCCAAAGCGAGACCATGTTGCTTCGGCAGCATCTGGAAGAGGCCCAGAACCAAGCCGCCGCGAAGGAGCGCGCCATGACTGAAGCCCAGCAGCGCTTCAGCGACATGCTGACCAAGCTGCGCGCCGACTGTGAAGAACGAGTTCATCTGGTTGAGGAGAGAAACAGGGAGCTCGCCAGCAAGGCTGCTGAACTTCGTGATCTGAACCTCAAGTTAGAGGAAGAGAAGAATCAACGAGAGGCGAGACTGAGGCTGCGTAGCCTGACTAGAAGTTCTTCAAAACATCTTATATTCCCCCTGTAGGATTGCTAAGATACTTCTTTATATCTGATCTTGTTTCTTTCTGCACAGAACACCTTGAGGCAGCTGCAGCAGGAGTTGGCCGACTCTCTCAAGAAGTTATCGATGTGTGAAGCTTCCCTGGAGGTCCTCACACGCTATCGCAACGACCTGGAGGAAGAGAAAGCTCGGCTTCTCAAAGACATCGAGAGACTCAGAGAAAAGGTGACTGCAGGACGCAGCTCTCTTCTCTGAAACGTGATTTATTACGAGACAATCGGTCAATAAATCTTCTGCTGGAATATGAGAAATTGTAATCACTAAGTTGAAGTTTATTATGTGATCAGGGCCTGACAAACATTAAAGCTGGTTGAATCTTTTTTTTTTTTTTACATCTTATGGCAGTGCCATTAAAACACGGTTTTTAAATTTTGTTTAAAAAAAAAAACACATCATTTAAGAGTAACAAACATTTCTATTCAGTCCACCTGAGTCAAGAGATCAGAGAAAAACGTTTTACTGAAACTATAGTCAATTACAGTAAAATTGAAATTATAGTCAGTTTCTGGCCTGTCCTGCTACCTATTGTGAAGTGAACCTCCAAGCTAGTTTTAGGACTTTTTTATCTTGTAGCTGGTGTTTTTTTTTTCCAGTCTTGCCCTGTATTTATCTCCAGACAAAATTTTCCTCAGCATGATACCACTGTCACCATGCTTCACCATAGGAATGGTGTATTTCATGGGGCCATTTTGGGTTTTTGAAAGCACATTTCAACTTTGGTCTTTATTTCCTCCCACCCAACATATTTGTAAAATATTTTGGAAACCAAATCCAATGTTTTTTTTTCTACTGAAGAATTAATTACTTCCATTTGGTGAGTTCTCACAACAACAATAATAGTTTTATATTAGGGTGTAACAAAAAACTTCAAGACTAATCAAGAGGATTAATAGCTGCTTTTTCTATATATATAAATGAACCATGAAGTACACTTTTTATCTTTGCTCTTGAGTGTTTTGTTTTGTCTGTATTACTTAGCTTGAGGAAACCGAAGAGAAGTACTTTGAGGCTGAGCGACTTATGAGCAGTATGAAAGTCAAATTGGACGAAACGGAAAAGGAACTTAAAACTACCAGTCATAAACTCCAGGAGGCGGTGGCGACCATCGTGGCCACTGAAATCACCACCAAACAGCTGGAGGAAGCGATGCAACGGTACGTGCAAACACACGGCTTCAACACAAGCGCTGATTCATAGCGGTCCTTTGTATTTATTCTTAGAGAACTGCGTATTTGAAGTTTTGAAGTAAAGTCTACAAACCATGTGATTAGATACTATGTGCAGATTTTTTTCTGTAATGTTAAAGGCTGCAACTAACGCCTATTTTAGCAATTGATTAATCTATTGATTATTCTGATGATTAATCGATTAATTTTTTTTTATTATTTTTTTTAAAAGCACATTCTATAGGTTTTTCATTTAACCACTTAAGCCTTTTTTATACATTAAAATAATTAATTTCCTTTTTCAAATAAAAAAATAAATGTTTTACTGCCTAAAATGCAGTAACATAGCATTCCTGCAGTAAATCTGAACCTGTTGAAGCTAAAATTGAGCTACTTTAAGAGTTTCGGCTAAAACATATTTAAAAGGAAGGGCATTTTTATCTGAAATGCAAACTGCATATATTTTTTGTAGTTTTGGCTTTATTACTGCTGAATATGTTGGTTTTTCACTAAATGGCTGTTTTGTTTTTTTTTTGTTTTTTTTTTGAGGCAGCAATTAATCAATTGCTAAATTAGTTGACGATTATTTCAGTAATCAATTAATCACGATTAATATATATATATATATATATATATATATATATATATATATATATATATAATCCATACAGTCGCAGGTATTTGGGCCTGATTAATAGAGAATGTTAATGTCGCCCAGGATGGAGATCAAGAACGCCAAACTGGAAGGTACTACGAAGCAACAGGCCGATAAAATTGAGGCTCTTCAGAAAAGCGCTCAGGAAGCCGTCGTGGTGAGTAACCCATTCACCTGCTCACACATGGTCTCAATGCTCCACGTCTCTTTTGAGCTAAAAGGTGTCATGCAATTCTGTTAAATCAACTATCTGAGTTTATGTGTTTAAGTCAGTTTTAAACTTAAAGGACATACAATCTTTTTTCAGCGAGCTGACTGCTCACCTGGAGGAGGGGTCAGTATTGTGACTGTAGGCGTAGTTTCTCTGTGTGAGGTTCTTCCTCTTTGTACGCTGATTCATTTAATCTTTTTTTTATTTTGAACTAGAGATAAAATAATCCTCTTAATGAAGTGAAATAAAACATGTTTTTAGTGTCAGAACTCCAAGCTCATGTGGGAATAAGTATCCTGGTGATGGAGAAATGTCTTTCCTCTCCCTGTCTTTTTTTTTTTTTAAATCTTTGTCTGTGGTGTCTTTCTTTCAGTTGTGAATGTATTCCTGATTAATGCATGTCACTTCCTTTAGTTTGCTTTCAGCTTTCTAAAATCCTAACTTGATTTTTTTTTTCAGCAGTAGCAGAAACACAAAGACTATTTAATTTTTTGTTTTGTTTTGCTTTTAAATCATGTTTTTTCTTTAGGTTCGTGCACATTTGGAGGAGCTGGTATCGAACCTCCAAGGCAGCAAGATTTCTTTGGAAGAGCAGCTGAATAAAGAGGTGAGTGGCTTCTATTGTTAGTTCATCATATGTTTCATCAGTTTATTTGTTTTTATATACGATAAAAACTAAAACGTAAGTTTAGGACCAATAAAATGCCAAAAAATACATCCATCCATCCATTTTCTGAACACCCTTGTCCCTCAGTGGGGTCGGGAGGGGTGCTGGTGCCTATCTCCAGCTCCAAAAAATACATTCTCATCCTAATTCCTTAGTTGAAGTCATAGGTTTACATACACTCAATTATAGGGATTGACTTTAATCTTTTGACTTTTAATGAATTATCTGAACAACCTACTATAAAGCAATAACCTTTAATTGATTTTATTAACAGGAAGTGAGTGCTCAGATTTGAGTTTGTGGTGGATTTTCTCAAAGGTTTTAATAGGATTGGGGTCGCTGCCATTCCAAAACCTTAAAGCTGCAGTATGTAGCTTTAAAAAAAATTTTTTTTTTTTTTTTTTTTTTTTTTAACGTAATCGTTAAAACCATCACCACGTCCTGAAAGTATGAGACAGATAACAGATAATGTATGAAAAATTTGAGCACATTTGTCTTCTCCATCTGCAGAAATGCGCCACTTCCAGTCAGAAACAACCAATCAAAGGCAGGAGTAGTTTCTTAGCGCTGTCAATCATGCTCGTGCACGTACAATTCAATGTGGCCATTCTAAGTAGCTTTAGCATTCACGGCAGACTCCAACGTAGGGAACTAGCTCTAGCATAGCAGGGAGCGATTGCGGGGGTGTGAGCAACCGCGTGCACGAGGTTTAAAGGTTTCTGGTTTATTTTCAAAATGATTTAAAATGAGTGACATCCATGCATACAGTATAAACAGAACCGTACTTTGAGCTTGTGTGTTTTTCTTCTACAGTTGCACAAACAGAGCATGCTGTCTAACACCATGCAGGACTCTCAGGCCCTGTGGGAGGAAGAGACGAAGAACCGCTCAAAGTTAGGACTGCGCCTGACAGAACTTGAAAGAGAAAAAGGAGAGCTCACAAACCAGGTGTTCACACTGTGATAGTAATCTGAGTGATATGATGGTTAAGCGTCACTCAGTTGAGGTTTGAAGAGTCACTGAGTTGTTCGTTCTGGTCTAGATGGAGCTTGAAAAGAAGAAAGTCAAGAAAATTGCAGAGCAAAAGAAAGCGGTTGACACTCGCCTCGATCAAGAGATGAAGAGAAACATGGAGCTTCAAAAAGAAATGCACAGGTGACTTTTGGACTCTTTGGACTCTGTCACTGGGCAGTGGGTGATCCTGCTGCTTAGAACCAGCTAGAAACCACTAGAACCAACTTCTTGGCTTTATGGTCCACCAGTGTCTGTATCCTTTTTAAGTCCCCACTCAGTTATTTTGTACATTCAATCAGCCTAATGTTAGCAAGTTTAGGTTATTTTACTTGATGCTTTAGATATTCACTCTGTGCGTTTATATTTAAGGCAACGAACTTTATTAAAAAGTGCAAAGAAGAAGCTGCAGGGCCAAGAGTCTGGAGGAGCGAAATACTCCTCTATGAAGAGCCCTCACCGGAGACAGAGTCAGGCTGACAGCTGGATGAACGACAAGGTTTGTGGTGCTGATGCTGGCTTCAACACGAATTAATGTGCTACTTGTACATTATATTTTGGTTTTTGGAGTCAAAAAATCAAACAAGACCATTTCACAGTTTTTGTTTGACTCAGTTTACGACAGGGTTCTGAACCTGGGTTCTAAGGTATTTAACAAATTATCTAACATTAAAATGCTTAACACAAAAACATTAGCTCTGCTTTCCTAAACCGCTAAACATAAAGGATTAGTGGAAGCTAACACTGAACTTCTAAGCACAAAAAATAGTGGAAGCTAACGCTAAACCGCTAAATACAAACCAAATTAGCAGAAGCTAATGCTAAACTGTTAAGCACAAAAAAAAATAGTGGGAGCTATTTTCAACACGAGACTCGCAAACAGCCGCGTCCTCTGTTTCTTATTTTACTACATATCATTATTTTAAAGTTGCAAAAAGAGGATGACCAAAGTCAAAAATGTAAGATGTGTAACATTTTATGGCAGTAATTGGCTTGAAAGGCTCAAAAACAGCCATCATCCTGAAGTGTCTAATGGGATATAGGACAAACGTACGACCTGAGGGTTGAGCGTCTTAATTATTATGCTTGTATCCACAGTCGAAAGATTTTTAGCAGCATGTTGCTGCCCCAAAGGCAAGTTGTTTGTACCAAACTTTAAATGAACACCCGTGCAGTGCATCACCTACAATCTCCCCTTGCTTCTTGGCCTTCAAATGTCTCCTCCGTCTTCAGGTGGAGGATCTGCAGGCAGAGCTGGAGAAGGAAACATCTCGTCGCTACCAGCTGGAGCAGATCAACGAGGAGCTCCAGGACCAGTTGGCCTCCATGAAAGGTGTGGGCCGTAACCACGGCGAGCTGGAGAGAAGCAAGAAGCACCTGGAGAGCGAGGTGGTGGAGCTGAGACGCCAGTTGGAGAACAACCAGCCCGACCAGAGTGTGCTGGATCAGTACCGACGTGAAGCGGAGGAAAAAGCCCACCAGGAGGTGCAGCAGAAACTAGAGCAGGTCAACCTCTTCCTACAGGTAAAGAGCTGAGACAAACCCCAACAGAGAGGAAATCAATTCACAGCAGCGGTGCTGATGTCGCTCTTTGACATCGCCCGCCAGTGGGATTAACAACGATTTGTACGTCTCTCAGTCCCAGGCGGCGTCTCAGGAAGCACTAGATGAGATCAAAGCCGCCAACGAGGCCAACCTGCGCTCCCAGCTGGAAAAGAAGATCCGGGAGCTGGAAGGGGAGCTGAACCGAGCCCGCACCATCCAGCAGGAAACGTTCAGCCAAAAAGAGTCCACACGCTCCGAGCTGGAGCGCTACCGACACCTCTACAACGAAGAGATGCGCCTGCGGATGTCCCTAGCTGCCAAACTGGAGAGGTTAAAATGCTTTTTGAAGAAATCTGTTTCACTTTGTAAAAAAAAAAAAAAAATTATAATAGGTTTGGTAAACTGGTAAACGCTTGTAACAAATCCCGAGCTGCTATAAAGATGGCAGTGATTAGCGTTTTCTTGTTTCCCATAAACAGGGCCAACAGCCGCCTCTCCGAAGCCAACTCCAAGTTGCTGAGCGAGCGCAGCAGGAGTCTTATGATGGGAAACGTCACAAGCGGGAGCCTGATGGGGCCTTCTCTGGACATGAGCGCCTTGGCTACACCAGCGAACCCCGGGACCTCAGTGGGGGCCCTCAACAGGAACATGAGCGTGGGATATTCCCTGCCCAGTACTGAGTCAGACGGACAGAACCAAAGGGTGGAGGACTACCTGGCTAAGGTCTGCCCAGTCCTTCAACTCTCACTCACTTATAGAGATTAAAGAGGAAATCTGTGTTCTTGTATATTCCTGATTTCATTTTTTAAAGAACAAGTTCATGTAACTGCAGAGATGTTAGTTATAAACAGTGACATCTCTGTAGTTTCACCTCATAGTCAGGGACGTGTGTTTGACGAGTTACATCAGGTCACCCAACAGACACTTTAGGCTTTGCAGACTTTTTTGTTTGTTTTTCTTCCTCCTGTTTATTATTTCTGTCTTTTCACCATTACCTCTAACTTGTCTTGTATTTCTCACTCTTTTAGCTTCTAGCTCAAAAGTCTTTTTCTCACTTCTCCTCTCTTCAGCCAGACTCATAACCAGGTGTGTTGCTGTTTTCAGCTGAGTGTCTGACTGGTTGCTGTTTCATTGCGTTGCTCGTGGCTTCAGTGGAGAAAAAGCTGCCAGACAAAGCAACAAAAACTTTGCATATTTTGCACTTTTTTTGAAATATAGCATAAACAGCTTGAATTTTCTTACATTTTGCAATGTTGCAGCCTCAAACTTTTTTTTGTGATTGGAGTTTATTTTATAGACAAAGTTGCACATTATAGTGAAATGGAAAAACCTCTGCTGTGCCTGCACAGCTAAAACAACACTAGGTGGCGCTCCTGTGTTGGCTTTGAAAGCCAGCTGGAGGCCACTGTTTCTCTTTTTCTCTTCTTTTACTTTCTGCCCCTTTCTTTCAGCAACTTTAGCGTTAAAACTTTTTCACTGAAGAATCAGTTTAGTTTGGTTCTATCTCAGGCCTGAACAGTTTGTCATTCAGTATAAAGTTAATCTGAGCTTTCCAAAGTAGTATTTAAAGCTCCACAGCTCTTCTTTTATCTGCAATGAATTCACCTTGAATATTGAGATCGTAACTGGTGCAGTCGTTGGTCACAGAATCGGGTACAGAACAGTTTTTATCTTCTGTTTTGCTGTCAAAGGTTTAAACGAGCGCTGAAGTTTTCAAGTGTCAGTGTATCTTCAAGAGAGAAGTTATTATTAAGCAACTTAATGCAAAAAATTTATAAAATATACTCAGAATTATCAGAAAAAGAAAAAAATTAATACATTTACCAAACATAAAATGCTTGTATACTCATGCCGGCCAGTAGGTGGTGATAATGTTCATATTGTCACATTGTAAACATCAAGGGAATACAAAGAAAGATTAATCTGAGCCTAGATGGTAGATCCTCCTAAACAGATATTTTGATCATTTCCTCTCAATAACAAACTCTTTCAGCAACTTAAAAAAGAAGCATGTTTATTTAAAAGATAAAATCTGTCAAAACCATATAGTGACAGGTATTTCCAAAGTAGGTTGTGGTGTTATATATTAATCACAATCTCTGTTTGTGTGTATTAATTTTAATGACCATATAATAAAACTATTAATTAATTTGCTAGGGATACGACAGCTTTACATAACACTTCTACTGTTACATTGTCACTGTTACATTTATATTTTAGTTATTTATTTTTAATGAAAGCGCATACAGTTAACCAGCAATACGGCAACTGGGTATTGCCATATTGCTGATTTATTTTGGTTATTTCGAGTGTGTGTGTGTGTGTGTGTTTGGGTGCGTCTTCATTCATCTTGGTATTCTTGCTGCGAAAAGGTAAATACATAATAATAATCTCTTTCAATGGATGGCAGTTAGTACTCAGTTTTAAGGAACTAAAACATGATGGGTCGTAGTGGGGTATGTTTTTGTAAATACTCACCTCTGCCATTTTCCATCCTGACAGCAGGTGTGCGCAGACAAAACATTCCCCCAGAGGGTTTGTGCACGACTCATTAGCTCTGAGGCTGCACCATAAAAAAAGGAAGTGTATCTAAATGCAGTGTTCGTCCATTGTTCATGTTGTTGGTTTGTGGTTCGGTAACAGTGTAGATCTACAGTCTTCCACCGACAGCATTCTGAAGCTTGTTTAATGCTACCGTTTGACCAAGCAGCAGTCCAGCTTTTTCTCCTTAGTTCAGGTAAGACGCTTCTAAAGTTGTCATTGGTCCGCAGCTGCAGAACAGGAACTCGCACTTGACGCTATGTAATAGATACGACTGGCTCATGAGCATATATTCATGCAATTTGACATTTCGGAAATAAATTAGCATAATAAAACGTCAATTTCTGGAGGGAAAAAGACTGTCAATTTTTTTTCTTTTAACAGTTTTGGCGCTATGATGAGGTGGGCCTTTTTATGAGCCGTATCGAAATTAGTGTATTCGGCGAAAATGCAGTGAAAACAGTTTTTCCGCATTACCTGAGTCACATGATCATCAACCGGATGTCTCCATTGGCGCAAACCACGAAGAAGAATTCAACAGGAAGTAGTTGGAGGATCGTGGTGCTACATGCTTTTTAACGTCTCACCGCGCGAGCAAACTTATTTTCGTGTGATTTTAATTGCGTTTCTTATTTAACAGAAACGCCGCAATTTCCGTAATTGTGTTTTTCCGACATTAACGGAATATTTATTAAGTTTTGCGTATGTTTGCGATGGAAACACAAACGTACGTTACTTTAAAAGTCCCTCCTTTTAAAGTAACATTTTTATACACTCGGGGATTGTTTTGCTGGAGAACCATACAGTCAGCAGCCGTCCAAGTGGACACAGATTAACAATATGGCATTAAAACTGTACATGCATTTTAAATTGCTATGTAATGTTCTATTGTCTGGAAGGAGTTTTTGTTAGCTGCAAGCCATTAAATAAATAGAAATAAATGATTGAATTCTACCAGTCAGTTGAATAAATCTACAAATATGTATCGAGATTCACTTTTTGAACTGAAACACTGAAATAAATGAGCGTTTTGATATTAGTGTTTCCTTAGCAAACATAAACGGCACTAACATGAAAGCCCTGTTTTATAAGTTTGAATAAAGCAGTGGTAAAGTGGGACAGGTGTAAATTAAATCCTTATCTAGATCATTTTTATAATAAAAACATATCAAACTGGACAAGCTAGAAATTGAATTTATGCGCTCCACTTCTATCCCCACACAGAGCAAGGCGTATTAGTTTGTACTGGTCTGAGGAAGGGAGGTTAATTTATTCAGATTTTACTTAAAAATGATTTCTGCAAATTTGTTTTTCAGCCATTGAGAAGCTCTTTGTATACCACAGCTTTCAGATCTGTGAAGAGCTTGAAAATTTTGCATGACCTTCTGTGTTTCACGTCAAAAAAACAGCTTTTTCCCCCCTCTGGTGTGTTTTCTACAGTGATGTTTCTCAGTAGCTCTTCTCCTCGCCCATATTTCACACCCGCGTTTTGTTTTTGTTCACCTGAGACGCTGCTGTGTTTTCCCCAGATGCAGAGAGAGCTGGACAAAAACATTTCGAAAGAACTGAGATACGGTAAGCGCAGCTCCTCCTCCTCCTTCTTCACCATCTTTAGGAAGGAGCCTCAGCAGGTGTTAACCTTGGCCCTCTCTCAGCCACAGCGGAGCTGGACGCCGCCTCGGCCCGTCTGTCCCCGGTGGGCTCCGCCTCCAGAGTGGAGCTGGACCCCCTCAGCTGGGCCACGCAGCAGTATTTGGAGGTGCTGAAGAAGAACCGTAGGATCTGACCGCACGTTTCCGCTCGTCACCGGAAAACTAAAGCCAAGACCGAGATGCTGATGTTATTTTCTTTTTCTTTAATCCTGTTGTCATGAAAGAAATAAACTTGACTGCACTTTGCACTTACCCTCCCCCCCCTCATGGAGTGAGGAACGGACGAGACTCTGAACTAAAGACGACCTCAGAAGTATTTGTTTTGCCGGTTGAAACTCTAGTTTTGATTTGTGAATTTTGGTGTTTTGGAATTGCCGCTTTTAAGTATTTGTATTTATAATCATTTTTGCCAATTTATGACATTTGGTACATGCCATCCAATGGTGCAATATCTGTGTTAGTACTAATATAGAGTTGTGTCGTTCTGGGTTTATTTTTTCTTTTATGTAATGAACTCTATATACTTGAACATGACGAGCTGGAATGCTCTCCAGCTATAAAAACAGGGTGACCACGGTTTTACATTTCAGCTTGTTGTTGGTTTGATGAAAGGGACAGCCAGTTTATGTTTTGTTCCATTATTTTTTGTGGTTTTTTATTATCTTAAAATACTGTAAAAAAAAATATATATACATATATGTATAAATACACAGAAAGATTTTTAATGCAATGTTTCATTCGCTGCAACAACAGTGGAATCAAAAGTTTGTATTCTGAATATATTAGTATGTAAAATTGAATAAATGAAAAGCTATATGGAGCATACATGAAGGATTTGTTTTCAGCATTTTTTTTTACCTAAATACAAAGTTTGTTTTAATGTAATCTATTGCAATATGGGTTTCGCTGGGTTTATGTTTACAGTGAAGGAGAATATAAGATGGACAGCAAATCCATCTGAAAAATGATCCAAGCTGCTCAGATCTTACAGCAAAGCATTCCCAAAACGTGACAGAGTGTCTGTGCATCCTTAAAACATCTTAAATCCATTATTCTTTAAAAAATAATAATAATCAAGGCCTTAAAATATCTTAAATTCACTAAAAATATGTACGTTGGCCTTAAATACATCTTACTTCTGGCAGGACTTTTCTGTCAAGTAAAAGTTTCTTCATTATGTTCCTCGATAGCTAGCTGCTCATATACTCTTGCTAGTTAGCTTTTTTTCCCTTGTGTAGTTTTATTTGTCTTAAATTTAATTCAACGTGGCATTAAAAAGTCTTAAATCTGACTTGCTAAAACCTGCACTTATACACTGTAACACTTCCAGCTCTCTGCTTTTGTTTTAGTTGGGATTAGTTTTGTTTTTTTGTTTTTTTTGTCTTTTCTTTTCTTGGAATACAGCCTTTGGTTTGTACCAAACATGCACTCTGTAATGTCGTCCAAACAGCTGTTTTGGACACGAGAATATTATTCCAGAATTCCTGAACTTTATTTGTCCTCATTGGCAAACGATTTGTCTGAATGTTTTCGTCGTTATAGTCACTGTTCACAGATAAAAATCACATAGTTCTACACAAACATCACACATATTTAAAAAATTAATAAAAAAAAGATCAAATGCTAAAGATCACTTAAAAAGAAAATATAATATTTAAAGAGATATTTGGGAAAAGCATAAGATTGTCTTCAACTGCTTTTTAAATGAATCCGGACTTTTTAGACAACATAAAAACACACAGGACATCGTAATATTTGATATATTTTTTTATGCTTGGCGTACATGTAATTCTGTACTAATATTGATGTGGATACTTATGACATATTCAATGAAAATACAAGTTCAAATAATCAACAAGCAAGAGCAAATCCTCGGTTTTTTAATTTGTTTTCTTAATTTCTGAGAACTCGCCCTGATCCTGCAGCGGCTGTGTGCAAAACCCGCTGAAAAGTCCCAGGTTGGTGTCGTTAAAATGAAAGACGCCGCTCGCCATCGAGCCTTGATGCTCAACCATCTTCAACCCCAACTCTCATTAGCTGTGTTTTGATGTTCTTTAAACCCACCCGCCCCTCTTCTCTTCTCCTCCCACGCTCGCAAACATGCGAAGCCTGATGGTATGCGCCGCTTTGGAAACAATTTTCCTCTCCTATTAAGACGAGACGGCGTGTTTATGATTGCCCCCCTCTGGTGCGTCTCTCCAGGCTTTGATCCGTCAGATATTCAAATCTCGTTACGTTTATTTTTGTTTCCTTTATAGCAGATGGGCACATCTGACAGACTGACTATTAGGTGTTTTTATTTCCCCGCCACCCGTTTTTTTTTTCTTTTTCTCTTTTTTTTTTATGCAGACGCCACTTCGTACCGCACCTTGTTTTGATTGAAGAGGTTACTGCCGTTGTCACGCAGCTTTGGAGGCAGGCGAGAATACAAATAGGCAGAAACTGAATAAAGGGGAGCATGTTTTATTTTATTTATTTATTTATTTTTGAGAAAGGTTGAAAGCAATCTGCTCTTCGTTAGGTCGTCTTCTGTCTCGTCTCAGACTTCCTGTCCAACAATCTCTGTTTGAAACCTCAATAATGTATGATGAGATTGTCATTATGGCAGCATAATTTATTGTTAGATTATATCCATCATTTTTTAAATTTTGCTTACAAAATACAGTTATTTTACCCTTGTTTTGGCGCCCCTTCCAGCGTGGCGCCCCTATGCGTCCCATGCAGTCCATTTCCACTTTTTACACCACTGGTCTGAATTTTGGTGTTTCCATTTGAACTGAACCACAAATGGTTCAGATGTGCATAAAGTTTCATTTACTGACCTCAAGCAGAAGGTCTATTACTTTAAATCAAAGGCATTACACTTCCAGTGTTGGAAGATTACAGGTTTGACTTCTTTCCTGCGCACCCCTTTTTTTTCTTTCTTTTTTTAACAGCTAAAGAACAGGACAAACACAAAACTTGTCATCTCTCGCTTTAATCCCTTTTCACGTGTGTCAAATAAGGCACTTTTAAACATAAAGAAGATGCTTATTGTCTCCAGATCTCTGAAGGATCTGAGCGAGCTTCATTAGAAAGCTTTTGAAGCGAGACGACAGCAAAGACGCGGAGTAAACAGCCAAAAATAAACCCTAAGTGCCGATAAAGACGACGCTGTCAAGACTGTGCGGTGGAGCAAAGAGGCTCGTTTAAATCACGTTAGAGCAAGTGAATCAGATTTAGGCGTCTCTGTGGCCCACAATGCATTTGGGTTCCGCCGAGGGCCGACAACAGATATCTAATTTAGAGCATGGCGGACGGGCGGCGTGAAATAAGCGCTCAGGTTTGTTCCACTTGTCAGCCTGGATTTGTTGTGACCTTTCTGCCCACAGCAGCACAGCTACTGTACCGCAACAGATGCAGCAGAAAACACGTGACCACGAGTCTGCAGTACGTTTCCTCTCAAAAGAACTTTAATTATTTCTGATTTTTCTGTTTCATGTTTCAACCACAAGCTTCCGGGCATTATCTTGAGATTTTAAGTGACGGCACAACGCACATATGTCCAAATATAGACATAACCTGTGTAATCTTTAGGGCTGCAACAAACAATTTTTATTAATAATCTAGTATTCTATTGATTGTTTGGACGATTAATCGATTAATCAAATAACAGTTGATGTCCTATTAACCACTTAAGCCTTTTTATTTACACAATATTTGAAATACATTAAAAGATACAACAAATAAAAATAATTTAATTGCTTTTAAAAACTTTTTACTGCTAAAAATGCAACAACATGGCATTCAAAGCAGCCAAAAAACAAAACTGCTAATAACATGAGAAAGCTCAGTCCTTTCTGCTTAACATCTACACAGCGCAGAACTCATTTATTGGCTAGTTTTTGGATTAACAGATCAATAATTAGAAAGTTAAAAGTGCTTAATAGGAGATATTTTTCTTTGCTTTAGAGAATTTGATCCGAGTGACGCTAAAATTTTGCCACTTCAGTAATTCTGAGTAGAATGGAAGTCGTTTTTTGTTTGTATTTTTTTGTACAGTTTTGCCCAGTTACTCTCTCAAACATGTTGTTCTTTTGCAGATGACCATTTTTTGAATTTGATTAGTCAACATAGCGATTAATCAGCAGTTAAATTAGCTCACGATTATTTCAACAAATGATTTAATCACGATTAATCGTCTCAGCTCCAGTAGTTCTCACCATTTTCAGTTCTTGATCAGGCAAAAAGACTTTCCGCTCATCGGTGGGTCAGTTCAGACACGTCTGCCGTCCCCCGAGGCTCAGCCACGGTGGCAGATCTCGCAGCAGTCAAGGCAGAACTCCAGGAACTCAATGGGCTCGCAGCAGGACTCGAACAGCACCGAGTGGCAGTGGGCGGGGCACCCCAGCTCCTCGCCGGGCGCGTCTCTGACAGCCGTGCAGCAGCTGGCGCAGGAGGCGCAGCAGCAGGAGGAGCAGAGGCCCTGGAGGCAGCAGGAGGAGCAGGAGGAGCAGGCCTCCAGCAGGCCCAGCAGCACCACCGAGAACTGGCACCACAGACACGCCAGCAGCAGCCCCAAGCACGAGTCTGCAGGCGACACGAGGATGAAGACGACTTGAGTCTGATGTTCCATAAAAGGCTTTTTTTGTTATTTTTTTTTAACATGTGTGTACGTGCGTGTGCGCTAAACAAGGGATTAGCGACTCTATTAACCCAAATTAATCTCTCGCATTTGTTTGTTTGCGGTGTCAAGCGAAACTTCAAAGAGGAAAATCTTGTGTTTACTTAATCACAGCTTTGTTCAGTCCTCCAGGGAAAAATGAAAAAAAGAAAAGAAAAACCCACAGAGGCTTTCAGGGATAAAAAAAAAAAAAACAATCAGGAGGAAGCTGTCACATGATAATTGCTCTGCTGCCCAAATTAGGCGCAGACCAAATTGCATACGTTGACCTCGTCTGTGTGCTGCGGTGCGTGTCTTGGGTTCCTCCTGTATTTGTTTATTTTATTTATTTATTTTCATCTGTGCGAGGACCAGAAGAGAGCGAGCCGGTGCAAATCCAGCTGTTTTATCCTGTTTACTGAAGGAAGCCAAAATAAAAAAAGAAAGGGAGGTGGCAGAATTCCCTGCGGAGTAGGGCTCAGCATCTTCCTGCTTATTCCACTGATTTATACACATCCCACATATAACTCATGCTAATGGACGTGTGTGGATGAAAGGGAGGCGTTGTGTGTCGCTCTAGAGTTGATTTGATGTAGAGCTTCACAGAGACGACGGCGTGAACCCACCGGTAGACAAGCAGGAGACAGAAGGGAAGCAAATGGACTTCATGTACTGGAAAACTTTCTGTCCGGAAAGTTTGCCGTTTGGTTGGAATACGACTGAACGAACAAGACAGGCCGACTCTGAAGATTTGACCGCAGGGTTCAAAGAACAAACCAGTTATTTTGTTTTACGTTTTTGGCAGCTGGGAACATTTGGTGTTTTCATCAGGATTTTTACGTGACAGGCCAACAGGAAGTAGAAGAGTGGAACGTGTCATCCATCCTTTATCAGACCCCTTTGTTAAACTCAGGTGGATTAAGGTTGCTACTTTGACTAGGCCATTCGAGATTAGACGAGTCTGTCCATATCTTCTCCAATTCCATTCAACTCCTACATTGTTATTGAGAATTTAACTTCTATTGTATGTAGATCTGTTGAAACAGGTCATGCGGTTTACCTGCAGATCCAGGAGCGGGTCGGTCGGGTCTGGGCCCACTTCTCTTGCTCCGGCTCCTGTAGCCGCGTACCAACGCCGCTGAGCCCTGCGGCCGGCTCCGGGGCTGCGAGGCCTGTTCGGGTCTGCTCT